AGTATTCTAACATAAATTAGTTTTCACAGTAGTTCAACATCTTTAGAAGTTTGTATAGTTTTTAAACATATTCTAGAGTTTCTGATTGAAGCATTTATTGAGTATTTTAATGTAAATGACTGTTTTTATAAGAAGCTAATGAGCCGCTGACGTCTGCACTCCTGGTTGACTCCAGACACGTTCATGTTTTTACAAGTTTCATGTTTCTGTCGTCGTATCCGTGCATCAGACGAAATGTCTTCAAGTGTTTTATTATTCACGTTACAAACAGAAAGAACGGACCGACGAATCAGCCGATCCATGTTCTGATCCAGAATCCAAACTCTCCTCTCCAGAACACCTGGAACCAAACCTGGAGATACTAATAGAACCCTGGAACATTATCTGGACCCACAGAAGGAGACCGTTCAAGGACCGCTGAGGTCACTTCCTGTCTGCAGAGGATCTCAAAGGAAGTTCAGTTTATAGAGTCTGAATGTGACGGAGGAGAGGAGGAGGCGAGAGAAGGAGACGAGGAGGCAGGAGAGGAGGCAAGGAGACGAGGAGACGAGAGTTCAGTCAACAGGATTAAAAGATTACAGGAGACTCCCGTTAATCTGAGTCCACGTGGTGACAGGATGATGATGTCACACTTGGCCGCCGCATTTCACACACACACGCACGCACGCACACACACACACACACACACACACACACACACACACACACACACACACACACACACACACACTGATCAGCTCTGATCAGATCAATCAGTCTGACTGAAATCAGATCAATTTTGCACTCACTGACACCCTCGCAGTCTTCCAGGACCCTTCCAGGACCTTTCCAGGACCTTTCCAGGACCTCTGTGCTTCCTGTCAGTGAAGCCTGGATCAAATCCAAGGACCATCAAAAGTTTCCAGGACGATGGAACGTCCTCAGTGATCCTTGGAACCCTGTGCAGGTTCTTCCAGGACCTCTGGAACCCGTTCAAGGACCACGACAACTCGCACATGAATCAGTGAAGCTTCCATCCTCTTCCAGAACCCCTGGACATCCCACTCAAGGATCCAACCTGAACTTTGGAAACACTTCCAGGACCACGACAACCTCTTTAACGAAACCTGGAACATTATCAAGGCCACCTGAAAGTCTTCAAGGATCAACAGCACTCTGTCCAGCAACCTTGGAGATTCTCCCATGATGCTGGAGTCTGTTCTGTCACACAGATCAAGGACCTCTGGCACCTTTTCAAGGACCACGAAGGCCCCTCCAAAACCCCTGGAGCCTCCTCCAGGACCCCTTGCAGACAACATGGAAACCATCAAATATCTCTAGAACTTTTTCTAAGGACGACGAGGAAATCTTCAAGGATCTCAGTAACATCCTGAAGGTCGTCCTGAACCCACTCAAGGACTCCTGGACCACCTCCCAGAATCCTGGAACCTTTCAAGGACCCTACAGATATTCTCATTGACCTTTGGAAGGTTCTCAAGACCCTCCAAGAACCACTTCAAGAACCTCAGGCACCTTGTAAAGGATCATTAAAACACTGTCAGGAACCTGTGGAGTGCTCAAGGACCTCCAGAACCCACTCAAGGACCTCCTTGAGCCTCCTCTGTCCAGTTAAACCTGTTTAACCTTCAAAATGAAGCAGAGAAATAAAATGTTGATGTTTGTCTCAGACTGAGGATGGACGTGGACCAGAACCAGAACCAGAACTTAAACATGAACCAGAACTAAAACCAGAACCAGGAGGAGCAGCCAGAACAAAATGTCCTCACAGAGACAGAAACACACAGAACGTCCTGATGTGAAGGACGAGTTTTATAACCACAGAAGAAGAGTGTGTGTGTGTGTTACTGTGTGTGTGTGTGTGTGTGTGTGT